GGCGTTAAGTTTGGTTGAACTTTACGCATGAGATGACTGCTTGCACTACTGTGGCATGTTTATTGCGTGTATATATGTGTGTGTGTCATGTGTCTGCCACATCCCACTTTCTCATTTTAGAAGTGAAGCATCTCTTTGACTAGCCTGTGTAACGCCCTCTCTTCGTAAAAACGTGCCCGGTGCCACAGGTGCTGGTGCGGCGCCAAGTAGGTGACGCCGCTGCGGCACATAGACATCACGCTCCCCTCGCAGTGCATGCTCACGTCACTTTCTCCTTCACCTGCTGCGCGCTCGCCGCAGCGTCCACAGACACCTCGTCCGTACGCCCGCAGCACCTGCCGCGACCGCAGCTCGCTACACCACTTAAGCATTGGTTCACGCGCAAAGCCTGACGCGTGCCTAACGTAACTGTTGAAACAGGTGTGTACATGTCACCTACAAGACCTAAGCCAGCCATAGCTTCAAACGAATCTTCAAGCGCTCACCGCCGCACCAGCGTGAACGCCGTCGAACCCGTGGCGCCACCCGGGCGCAAGACCGCTGCTTCGCTTCCCAACATGGTTGCGTTCGGGGAGATGATTCAAGTTTTATCAATGTAAAGTAAACTGTACACTGTTTCTGAAGAGACACGCTTTTGACCAAGTCTACCTACACATGTACTGATGTCATGCAGCTCATTCAAGACCAGGCCACCTTATTTTATTAGGTGCATAAGTGTATATATAATATGCGCAAAGGCGACACCACTTTGTTCCTTCTTCCCGGTCGCCCCAAGACAAAAAAGGGTTCATTTATGCTTCTCCCTCAGACGAGTAGAGGCTTCGGCTTGTTGATAATGTATATTTGATGAAATGAAGCGCAATGAATCGTACAACAAAAGATAAGGCAGACAGGACGAAGTGCTTCGTCCCGTGTGTCTCTTCTTTTGTGGCCCTGTTTATTGTGCTTCATTTGATGAAGTATGCTTGTCCCTGTAAATGCCATCTTTGCAAGGATATATTTATTGGTTACACCCCACTCGCACGGGGGTAGCTTGTAGTAACGCCCATAGGTTAGGGGCTTCCACGAACACCTTATAAAGCAGGGTGTAACCTATATTTACGCTCTGCGTTTTGAAGGAGCGTTACCGCATACCCTAAAAGAATGCCACCCATGAAACAAAAAATACACAGGTGCCCCACCATGTTAACTGGGCAACGAGTGGGTGGCTTAACTACCCACACAATACGAAGGACTCGAACATAATTGAACATAATCACTAAGCATCAACAAAGTCCGCAGCTCCGCAGGTGTAGGCTTCGCTTATTTACGTGCAAGGAGTAGTTTTAATTCGCAAAACGATAATTTACGGCGTAGTGAAGACTTTTATTTGTACTCTTGGAGCATACAGACATGCATTATAGGAGTGCTTATAAGGGCAATGTTATTATGGCCAAAAATGTTACTTACTCGGGACACAATTGAGGTGTTCACCGGAAAGCGAAGCTTTGCTACCGAATGAGGAGGCACGTGAACGGGGTTCGATTATGCTACTGCATTTTTATCCCGAAGGTATCGTTCAAACCTATTTTTTATTTTCAAAGCGTTTTGCATGCGCCGAATTCAGACCACACCACCGAGCACGCGTGACCAGGCAAAGAGAATTCCGGCATGATAATTTGTAGTGGCCACAGTGTCTGTTTTGTGTAAGAAAACAAAACGTTGCAGAAAGGCCCAAAATTTGAAACATTCATTACTTTGGTAAGAAATCCCTCACTTTAAATGAACCGCTTATAGGACCAGGCAACAGGCTTCTAATCTTTTTTCACACCCTTCAAAGAAGCTCAGCAATTCGTAGAGTATACCACGGTGATCACGTTTTCCGAATATCACAGTGCTGTGAGCAGCGCAGTGCCTCTATGTCGAAGAACGATTTCCGCACTCCTTTTCTACGCCTGACGAATCCACCTATTACGCACAGTGACGCAAATTCACCAATCGGCGACTTGACGTAGCACGCAGCCCGTCGATTGGACTTAACCAGTCACGGCGATGGGCTACGCCTTGCCCTCCCACTCAGGGATAAGGGTGCTGAAACCGCGTGAACACTTGAAACCAGCTGAAACATGTTCTAATCCTTGTAACTTCTTAATGTAGCACGTATTCGCAAAACTCTCGCAGCAGCTTGTTCGCAAAGAAAAAGTGCACATATTTCCCTTTATAGGAATTTCTGGACCTCAGGGTTGTTCACTGGCCCTTTAGCGTGTATTCTGAAAGCTTGCTGAGGCGTCTTCAAGTGGAAAATACGAGAACTGTGCAGCTGCATAACCTACAAGCTTACCTTTCATGTTTTTTTCTGTATACCAGCTTCTCAGCAACCTGCCTGATCTCTAAAATAAATGAGGAATTTCTTTCTATTGTTCTCTGTATGATGCTGTTCAGTGCAATCCCAGGTCCTTTTGGCTATCCGACAAGATAAAAATGACGGCTCCGAGATTCGGTAAAGCAAGAAGAGAGAGAACGGGGATTAATAGAAAGCAGGAGGTTTAACCATAACAGTGGTCCGGTAGGCTACCCTGCGCGGTGAGGGGGTAAGAGGAACAACCATTATAGAGCAGAGGAGAGAAAATTAACTGCTGTCATTTATGTAAGGACACCTCTGCGCTTAACATCAGAGACGGTGGTTCAGTACCATCGCTTTAATCAAAGCAGCGCAATAATTGTTTCACACAACTTGTATACATGTACTTAAAACCAAAGCAATATATTTTTTATCGTTTTTCGTTGTTGGGAGCAGCTTTTAAACTCCCGTTTCTGCGTTGAGCAGCCTCGACGTGTTGGCGTAATCGACAGAGTGAACGACCACCAAAGAAATTGAACGCGAAGCACAGCGGAGGACGAAAGACAGTGATATTGATGAGAGCACGAGGACAAGGGAATCACAATGACAAGATGACAAGTTACAAGCCAGCCACTCTAGAGGCCACCGTAAAGGGCACTGTTGTGCGGTCACCTATCCCAAATAAATCACTGCTTGGACGGAGGCCCGTCTGTGGCTAACGAGGTCTTTTAACACGAAGGTGTTTTATGCCAGGGTCGACCATGGCTCCGCTGACGTACTTCGGTCACGGATATGCCATTGTAAAATGTACACCAGCAATATTTCTTAACGAGACGCCGAACCAGCGAGTTTTCGCTCTGCAGCGCGCGACGCAAGACTACTATAGGCCACAAAGCGTGCGCTGCTCAGCATGTCAACGCCAAGCCATTTATATACGCCATGTACCGTTGGCGGTCCTGAGGGATCAGTAACTTCATCGTGTTTTTGTATCAGTAAAGAGATGGCATGACGGCCTATCGTTTGGCGCACGTGCTCTGAAGTTCGTTGCCTCACGCCTGCCCGCAATTGACTGAAGTCACCTAAAGGGGCCCTGAAACACTTTTTCAAGTAACCATGGGAGGAATTTACTGGAAGGGCTTATGGTCTCACGAAATAAATGCCGCAAAAATTTTGAGAATCGGTCCTGTGTGAGTGGAGTTGCCAAGGTTTCTAGCAGGCTGCAATTGCATTCTCTTTTCTCTCGTCCCGACGAAAGCACCGGCAGCAAAGCAGGGAGAAACGACAGGGCCACAGAAAAACGTCACGTGCGCCTTATGACCTTGAGCACTTTTCTTTTTTTTTTCTTTGAGTGCGCAGCTTTTCTAGTGTGATCGCACGCGCACGCGTTGACATGTAGAGGCCTCTCACGGCGATCTCTGTAATGAGCGGGCGCACCATGTTCAAATCAGCCAGTGGCTGATAGATGGGCTTGCTACGAGTGATTTTTGGGCATATTCTGTGATTTGTCAAGATAAGAGAAAGCAATTTTTAGCTGACTTTGATAATTTATTGTAATTTCCAGGCCGCGTGCTGCGCTATAATTTTTGGCTGGCGCATTGTCGTCGGCCTCTACTACCGATATTCAGCGTTTTCTGGCCATGCTCTAAATGTGTTGCAGGGTCCGTTTAACGCATTCCTAGAGTTTCTGTGCGTGCTCCTTACAGTAACTCCACGCCTTGCCATACGCGCGCACCTCCACATGTCGCGATCAAAATGCGCATAGATGTTCTACAGCGTGGTCGCTCACTCGCGAGCGCACTTACCTCGGTATGCGGGGAGCATTCCACTTTTTGTGCTTCTCCCGCAAGTCTGCTTTCCAGTATCGCGTTTGTCCTGTGTTTACTTGTGGATTCGTTTTATGCATCTTTCTTTCGGTTTGAGCAGCGTGCTTTGAGTGTCGAGCTGTAATAAATATTTGTTCCCGCTCATCCTGTGTATGCTTATTTTTTGCGTGCTTCCTGCTGGAGGTGCGCGCTACAAGTTTTGAGCTGATCGCCGTGTTCCACGTATACCACTGCAACTTGTTACTGTAGCAGTCATTCGTTCAACCTTGCGGTGAAACAATGCACAACAAACGTTAAATTACCTGTGCGAAAACCCGTTTCCCTTTCGTGCTATACCGATTTGAAAAAGAAGAATCAGCCACGATTTCTTTGTAATCATCCTTGTCTGCGGCAGCTCTTGTGAAAATAACCCATGCACACTTTTCCGCGGTCCGTATCGAGTTCGTCGCGGCTCAGCTTATCGCAAAATCGAAACACCTAAACAACGCCCCCAGAATTCGCAATAGCCCGTACAGTAGCATCGGTGAATTTTTGTTAATGCCTTCTGAGATGGTATCGCACCGTTAGCTACTGGCTGCACGGGAACCCTGCTACAAATTGAGAACTGCTAAGATAAGTGACGTTAAGTCTTGACCAGAGCGATCTCGCCGAAACATTGCAAGATATATATAAAGCGCAGCGAAAAAAGCAGTTATAAAATGAGAAGAAAACCTCGCTAGTATATAGGAGTATCCATTTATAAGCCTTTAAATGCTGCCACTTACATATGTCCTTAGCGTAAGCTAGTTTTCTATGGTAGAAAATAGATTAACGCGTCATGTGGTCTATTGCCTACAAACGTGAAATACAATTGGAGATTTTAATTTATTTCATTAAATAAACAGGCACATCAGGGTCTAACAAAATAAACGAAATGCTAACTTGTCATAGGTCCTACATGAGACAGGAACAGTGAGAACTGGCTTCGTAAATTCTAAGACAATTAGTGTTTTATTCGCTTTTATGTTTATTTACCCAGTCTGCGAAATCGTAAAGGATAGCAGTAGCCTTCTGCCCTGACTGTGAGAAATCTTGAGTCAACGACACACTGGCAGTGTGCCACACGACAGCCGACGTGAGTTCCATCCGGGTAGCGAGTGCACTACAAAGAGAATCGGTATAGATCATAAAAGCCAAACGTAGTGCGCTGTCCAAAGTGTTTGATTTTTCTAGACCCACAATTCTGTGCGATTGCACCAGGCCATCATGCATGTACAAAAGGCTGCCTAGTACGACCAAGCAAGCTCTTCTTCGAATGAAGGCGGGACATAGTCTCAATATACGGATAGCTTTAACGAACTCACTAATGAGCTTGTTATGTATGTATTTCGCATTGGTTCATGTGCTATAGCAAGCTTCACAGAAGGAGCATTTACAATCAAATGCGGGCTACCTATGAAGGAAATTTTAAACAACGGTACGAAGGGTCTTCGAGTCTATCACAAGTGCGCCAGCCCGTTTGGTCAATATACTGCTTATCTCAGGAAAGAAGGAACCCACATATAAACGATGCTTTTAAACAACAGTTTTCTGTGTTTTTTTTTCATACTCGTTCAGTGTGTTATTCCCGTCATTTTTCTTAGGATGATATCTGTTAAACAATTGAGTGGAGGGGGGGGGGCGGTGGCTGTGTGTGAGCCTTTAAGAGAGGCTAAATTGATTCAAGTTCGTGCTTCATCGCCACCTTCTCACTCCTTCAACGCCTTCCCACTCTCTCTTATTTCTTTCAGCTCCCCTTTCCTAACGCTCGGTATAGCAGGCCACAAAATGTATCCAGGCTGACCTCTCAGCATTCCTGCTACAATAAACATTTCTGTCTCTTTCTATAGTTACGGTACGAAAGAAAAAAAAAACGTTATTCGATCAGATTCGCCTATCAAGGGAGGCAGCCAGCCAGACTATGCATGCCTGTCGGCTACCTCCTCGGCTTTATTTATGGCGAGAAGCTCAATCTCTCGGGTTTCTGGCTTCATTATTATTTCTCGCAACACAGGTGAGGCAGTGATCAGGAGATTTGGTGAGGGGGTATTTCCCGCAGTTCCAGAGTATAAGGGATAGGTTAGCTGTTTCCGTGCATGAGCGATTGGTACTAATAAAGTCAGTTTAGATTGATCAACACACGTTGGTTGCTTGCTCTTCGTTTGTCTTCATGCTCCTACTTTTTCGTTACCTACAAAAAGGGGTACTTATGCAAAACCTGGCAGATTGTTGCATTTTTATTTATTTTATGGTGGTGGTGCCATCTCATAATTAGCGTTTGTGCCTATGTCACATTACTTTCTCGCATGTCACCCTAACCGGGAGTCCCGTTGCCCTGTTTACGAAACAGACCTCTTCAACATGATAACAATATAGTTCACAAAAGTGGGTTCTCCGTGTACATCATTGTGCCGTCGCTTCACCTGTGCTGATAATATCGTCAATGGTATTGTCAGGCTATATTCCCATTTTCAGATTAATTGCACCCCGAGATAAATAAAAAGAAAACTTGGACCCCAACTGAATCTTGGACCCCAACTGTAGCAGCACTCCGGTGATCTGTTTCGGAGAGTTAGACCCCTTACTCCTGCGCCCATAAATGCGTCACAACTCACTTAACTCCTCTGAATATTGAATTTAGATGAAGCTTAATTAGATGTTGTACTGTACAATAACTGTAGCGTATCTGTATATCACTAGGTATATCTGCCCGCTTCACCTTTTGCGAGACCTCGTAGCACAGTAATTTGAACATGGGGGCTAATCCGACTGGTGCACAAAAAACGAAGAATGAAACACGTGAATGGTGGACGCAAATTAGGGTCATGCGCTTTAGTAACCATGGCATAGACTTGCAAGAAGTTATTGAAGAATTAAACTGAGAAAGTATGAAGGTAGACCCCAAAACAGATATGCCGAAAAGAAGAATACTGGTGAATGACCGGGCGAAACAGAAAGAATTTGGCTATAAAGTGGAGTGTATGCAAGAATATGTGTACATAGGACAACTACTCACGAGGAACTTTATCATGAAACAGAAATTCACTGAAGAATAAGCATGTGCCGAAGCGCTCCTGCATCGGACACGCTATTCCAAGGTAGCAGGTTATGTTTTTGCGAATGGCATGTTATCTCTCCATCCATGTTCTTTTCTTCACATTTACACTACATTTACTACTAACAGTATCCCCTTTACTTTCCTAGGCCGGGTTGTCTGTTTGCTCTCATCGTTGTACCTAACGAATAAAAACAAGCGCTCAACATTGCCACTACTTTCCTTCGGTTAGCCAAGCTTCCGGCATCCATTCTTTTTGTCGAAACGCCGAAAGCGTGCTTTGAAACTCCTCGCATAAAAAACTGACAGTTTCACCACCCGGGTCAAGTAGCAAATTTTATAACAACAAAATATTATGTCACTAAAGTGAAGTTCGAAGCTAGCTTCTTGGACCCAATGTCGCGTAACTCTACAAAGCTGTGGCTTAAGACGCGGCCACTCTAGAGAGAGAAGGGTATACGATCCCCTCTTCGATGACTGCCGTGATAGAACGTACGTCAGTGATGCCTACAGCACCTTTGAAAATCAAAGTTCAATATTACTGCTTGAGTGATCTCCCCTCCTCCCCCTTGCGTCTGTTCATGCTCGTTCAATACGGGTGGGGCGTTCTCTCTCTGCTTTGATGACAGCCCTTCCGAGCAGGGTGAAGTTATTTCATTCGCCCTTCGAGAGACAGCAAGAGGCCGACTCGTCTGACCTTCGCTTCCGCTGCATTTATCATCTCTGCTCGCGCCTTTTGATTCGCGGTAGAATATACAATGGGCAAGGGAGACGTTATCAGCTTGGACTTGATACGACACGTGACGGCGATGGCAGAAACGCGCTGAGAGTGTCCATATAAGTCCGTATAATTGCTAGAACAATAAAAAGGAATGTAGCCTTATTGAAAATTCTGGGTTGGTGGATGCTGGAATCGTTGGTGGATATAGTGGAAAGAACGTTGAATATGGTGGAAAAAATTAGTGGATATGGTAGAAACTGTAATGGGCATAATGGTTCATGACAGCGAGAGTGGAAAAAATGATGGCAGATGCTGGTGGTGGTGGAGAGCCAATGATGGTGACTGTGGAAAATGCCGGCTGATGATGGCGAGGCAAAACTTGTTTGGTGGAAGGCTTCGTGAGCAAGGTGGATGACGGTGGCGTGATGGAAGCTTCGTGGATGATGGTAGCAAAATGAAAAAGCACAAGACAGTATGTGAAATCACTTATTTGTAGTGTTTCATTCATGAATGCGCAGATATATTAGTGTACGGTTAAAAGAAACCAACGCTGTTCATTACGCTTTCTACCACGTTTATTTTTTATTCTTTTGGTGTCTGTCAACAACGCGTCAATTTTTGTGGAGCATAGAATATATGGCCGTAAATATGTTTGCATTTCGCGCAAGTACTTACACAGTTTGACATCCGCGATGTGTTTCTTTGTAGTGATGTTTAGAAGACTAGAGGTGTCACTGTGAACAGTGACAATAATTGTTTTACGTCGGCGTGCAGTTCTCGACAAGTAAGTGGGCTCCAGTTCGCAATTGCTCCTTTCAATGCTAGAGTAGGACACAGAGGTCACTTGATGTCGCCACGCTTGAAACACAGCTCTGGCAATTCTTGCACACTCTATTGATTGAGCCGTACTTTCAAGTTAACAAAGTGCGTGCGAATATGCATAAACTTTCATTTCATACACGCGTCGAGACGAGCCCCAGCGAATTTGACTTTCACCCTTCAGTTCTACCACCATGATTTCCACCAAATGTTAGTCTTTCCGACCAAGCCCACACAAGTGTTATCGGCGCTTCTAAGTTTCGGAATACACAATTTGACGAGTAAAAATGACAATACAGCATAGTTGTGGCATCATTTAACCTAAATGAAGCCTTTTTTATTGTCTACGGTGTCCGCGCAAGAAGCAAAAACCATCGATGCGACGCGCTTGAAGCCCTTCCACCAAATGTACGCCTCCCCTCACCGACCGCCGCCGGTCACAATCACCGACACTTCACTGGCTCTTATGCGAGAACACAGATTCTTCAATTCGTATGCTCACTGAACCAACATGATAGTATAATGTTTCTGGCGCACTGCGTTCGTTTTAGCTAAGCGCTTATGTAGTTGTTCCTAACGACAGAGCAATGCCCCACCGCGGTGGTCTAGTGGCTAAGGTACTCGGCTGCTGACCCGCAGGTCGCGGGTTAGAATCCCGGCTGCGGCGGCTGCATTTCCGATGAAGGCGGAAATGTTGTAGGCCCGTGTACTCAGATTTGGGTGGACGTTAAAGAACTCCAGGTGGTCGAAACTTCCGGAGCCCTCCACTACGGCGTCTCTCATAATCATATGGTGGTTTTGGGACGTTAAACCCCACAAATCAATCAAATAACGACAGAACAACAGTGGTGCGCTGGCACTACTGCGCTGTGCGTTGCGCGAAAAACATCGCAATTAATTGTGTGGGCGTATCTATCGAATGAGCATAGAAACGTCATAAAACCTCAACAGATATCACCCTTTGGAAGGTGCGAGAAACGGATATTAGGCTTGGCAGTAACTGCCGATGAACTCTACCTAGCTGCTTCTCGTTTTTTTTTTCTTTCTTGCGGTTATAAATTGTAACAAAAACATAGTGCTGTTGCCATTATCGCAGTGGCAATCGTTACAGGCAGTACTTGTTCGTGTTTAGGAAATGTGCAAATTTTAGTTGCAGGTGCAGATCCCGTCCGCCTCGAGTAAACTGCAAACAGAACTGAAGTTAAAGAGTGGCTTTGTGAGTTGACTACTTCTTTAACACCAAAGTAACCATCTGTCAGCGTGATGCAGTGGTTAGTGTGTTCAGTTAGTGTGCTCAGGTTCGATTGTGCTCTATTGAATCTTTTTCTTTACGGGTGCTTTCTACATAGTTTTTATACAATTATTTTTATTATTTCATTTGTAGCAGCTCGTCACAGTGATTCTGACGCTGATTCGTTCTCCAACATTGCCGGCTGGAGTGCGCCATCCACCATCCGTTCCACCATACGCCACCATACACCATGTGCCACCAACATTTCCAGCACCATAATCCACCAAAATGGTGTATGGTAGAATCCACCATTCCTATGGTGGACGCTTTTTCAATAGGGAGGCAGGCAACTTGGTGGGCAGGTGGGCGTACGGAATGGATGGACAGACAGACAGACAGACAGACAGACAGACAGACAGACAGACAGACAGACAGACAGACAGACAGACAGACAGACAGACAGACGAATGGACAGACACACAGACAAACAGACAGACAGAAAGACAGACAGACAGACAGACAGACAGGCAGATAGATAGATAGATAGATAGATAGATAGATAGATAGATAGATAGATAGATAGATAGATAGATAGATAGATAGATAGATAGATAGATAGATAGATAGATAGATAGATAGATAGATAGATAGATAGATAGATAGATAGATAGATAGATAGATAGATAGATAGATAGATAGATAGATAGATAGATAGATAGATAGATAGATAGATAGATAGATAGATAGATAGATAGATAGATAGATAGATAGATAGATAGCACCATATGCTCGACCAAAACAACATTAACAACGTTATGTATTTAGCTTGCACTCTATTCATGTCAAAAAGTCGCTTCTTACCGATCCACTGCATATCTTACGCAAAAGAGATGAATCGTTGGAATGTGGCGCAATAGGGTGTGTGTCAAGCCTGCAATGACACCGCATGATTATACGTTTTCAGCAACAATAGTAAATGTACATTTATGTACTGAGATATAACCAAAATGATTCTCAAAGTGCTAACACTTTAGTCCCTGGCAATCTGACTGCATATGACGTTAACCATGACCACAATGCTTATCAGTCCCTATGCATAACATGCTTATTTTTCTTTTTTTTTCAGGCATGTCATTTCGTGCCAGTATAAGTTGCATGGTGGCGAAATGATTTATGTTGAAATCAGAAGTTCTTACGTTTTTCAAGTCAGCAGCACTGCTTAATGTAACGACACATTACTGCTAAAATGGTATACATGTCTTGCACATATCATCACTTTAAAACAAACGGATGTAGTTTACGATAGAGTTTTCTATCAGGCAATGGCCGGGCCACAAATAAGCTCAATATTGGTTGGTTCGCCGATGTATCTATACTGTATTGCCGACGCATCTAATGTATCGCCGATGCATATATACTAAGTAAAGTTTGTAGTGTTGCTCAAAGAAATATGACTGACAGAGCAAACAGAATCTGAAACAGAATCGAGAGTTGGGTAAGGTATCTAACCCGTTGTGCTGTTGATGATTCTACGATAAGCACATTCATATGGCCTGTTATTGCCCTGGTTCTGTATGAACATATCTTTTTCTAGCTTAACATCATTTTACATTGACTGCGCTACTTTTACACAACATTACCACAACTAGCTGCGTTATATGGTTTGTTATGAAAAACGCACTGAATAAATACGCTAAAGAAGAGAAGGTTAGTGGACGAGCGGTCGTGTTTTTAGCTTATTCTCTCCTGGTCTTTCATTATTTGTGCATTTTTATAATAGCAAAAAAATGAAAGCATATATGACGAGAGTAGGAAAAACAGGTCTGAGAACTAATATGCAAAGCACAAAAGTATATTCAACAGTTGGGCAAACGAAATGAAAGTTCATGGTCAGAACTAGCCTTTGGAATTTGTACAGCACGTATATCCGGACCACTTACAAAAAGAGGCGCATACTTATGAAAAGGAAAGTCATCGGAGAGTATAGATGAGCAGGAGCGCCGATGGTAGACATTCGTTAACTATCACATGTAATTTAACGGTGTTCTTACAGTGGAAATGCTCAATAGCTACATTCTACCAGCTGTAACGTACAGGACGAATACTTGAAGAATAACAAATATACTTGTGAATGAGTTAAGAGCCACGTAGTGTGATGAGTGTAAATAGAGATGACGATGGGTGTAACCAAAAATAATAAATGGCTAAGCTTGCCCAAAGCCATGCAAATATTGCAAGAATGAAGCTAGGCTATTCTGCTGAAGACCAATCTGGATGCTTCTAGGTAATTTGTTGGCCTTTTCTAGGTGATGCAGATTGTCTTAAGGTTGATGATCAGGGTAGAAACCCAGCGTTCCCACCTGCCATAGATCTACAGGCAAGTGGTCGTTGGTGTAGTCCGTGCGCCGCTTCTGGGTCTGCTCACGGAGGCTTTTCCCGTTTCTTAATATTCGCTCGTTGTGCGTGTTGGAGTATTCGGCTCAACGCCATTGTTTCGCACCTATTTGTTGTTGGGCTGACTGGCTCCTTAAATTTCGAGTTGCCTTCATTTTCAGTGGACCAGTGGCGAGCAAGTAGATTTATTCAATTTCTGGGGCAGGCACATATTCTGGTCTAAGTTCGGTTTTTTTTATTTCGAGTGGACCAGTGGTAAATGGTGGGATATAGCCAGTTTCTAGGGCACATACCCATTTGTGATTATATTTTTATGGTTCGTCGAACAAGGATCTACATTCCAGCAGGTTCACTGGTAAAAAGGGTTGAAATAATATGTGTAGCGAAAAATGATACGTGTCTCAAGAGACGCACAGACGGAAGAGTGGATTAGCGAACAGACAAGGACAGTTGATGCCATTGATGCCAGTTGATGACAAGGACAGTTGATTTGGCAACAAAACAAGAAAAATAACCAGAAGTGCTAGCCCTGCCGGGAAAATGGAGGCAAATGAACCTCAGCTTGTACGTACAAAACATACATGGTTCTTCGTTTGTTGGTTTGTTTGTTTTTAGGCATTCTGCAATGCCCTCTCCTAACTTTTTGTCACTTCGTGCCATGTATTAAATCTTCATCACGTGCTTACTTGAGTCGATACACCCAACAACGACGGTGACGCGTTCATATGCAGGCTACAATGCGATATGGCACCGTGAAATAAGAAGTGATCTCGATAAAAGATGACATTGCCATATTAGTAATGGCTCAAAGCCAAGAAGCCTGAGATAATTGTAGCATCAATTATCGAAAAAAAGATACGCATGTGACTGGCACCCATTCTGTGAACGGAGCCAATGTTGACGACGATGAAGCTCCTTATAATTGCCGCACAATCTGGTTTTTCGCAGACGCACACCTTGACTTCTCTACAGTAGAAAGCAGTTATTCACCAACACCAACTCTACTTTTACGGTAATTGCATGCAAATGTGGAAAATGTACATTATGAAAGTTTATTGATAGATTATTCATTGCCGAAGGGGAACGACTTGCAGCCGCCAGTCCGTCAGATGCCCAAGCAAGATGCACAACCAAGTGAAGAAGGTCAGGGAAAGCATGAATGACGTTATTTGCTGTTAACTGCAGTTTACTAACTGAGATGCAAAGACAAACGAATTCAAGCGGACGAAATATTACCCTTTCTGTTGGTAGGTTTCAAACTTACCGGTTCCTACTTTATCATCACTCCTCCAATGCTCAGTCAACGTCAACTGAACTACGACGGAAGGTGCTCCCCAAGCAATTCTTTATTGATGTGCATGTAATCTCTGGGAACGTTAACCAGCACCGCGTAGTTGTGAATCCACGTGGCATTGTCAAGAAGAAGCATTATTTATATTATAAACCAGCTGCTCACAAAAAACAACAACCTTACGTTTAAGCCGAGAGAAGTGTTTCTATACAATGAAGCGCCTAGTTAAGGCGTATGCAATAACAGAAATACACAGAATAAATTAAAATAACAAGAACAGGACCGAGCGACTCACTCTGTATATAGCCATGGATGTCCCTTTGAGGTACACTTGCCACCGCATTCTTCAGTCAGAATTTTCACTATACAAAACATCGGAACCTAAAAGCAAGAGTGACATAAAAGGGAAACTTACGCTACAGCAAAGGCATGAGTTATTATAGCAAAGACAAGAATACTGCATGGTGACATGGCCAGACAGATAACATAGAGGACGTCCGTTCTGGAGCGAAGAAAGAAATTGAGCACTGCATTCGCGAAAACCTTGTTACACAAAGCGTGAACCTCATTGTTAATGGGAGCGGGTCACGAACGTTTCTATTTCGCGGAATGAGTTGAAGCTGGGCACATGTTCTCTCTTGCATTTCATGAGACTTATGTCGTCATCAAGGTACTCGAACAAAGTGCGATTGTATCGAGGGGCATTGAATTTTATTTCTAGCTTGAATTTCACTCTCGAAAAATAAAAGGAACGTTCTAAGTGCTGGTGTCGATCGAATACAAAGGAATATTTTACATACTTTCTAGCAGAACGACATCGCAGAAGAAGCGGACCCGTTAATTCCATGCCGAACACCTGGTATTACGGCAAATAAGTAATCCAGTTCTGTGAGACATTCGTTATGAAATGAGTTGGTATTTCAATTCCTCTATAGTTTGGCGCAGATAAGCTTATCGGTGCACGCAGCCTCTTAACATTAACTAACATTGCATAACCAGGAGAATCTTTTGTAGCGCGTACTGGTGGCACCTGTATGTACGTTTTCTTTCTTTTCTTCTTGAAGTAACTGGAAGGGTTTGTAAGTTTGGGGAAATATTCTGTTACCTGAAGTCACTGAAGTCATTTATGATGAATGCTTCGGGAATTTTACTCACTGGCATCTAGCCATTTGGTTCTAGGTACATAAAATATTTTCTTGGTCCCTTCCTTAGTCGTACCTTTTTTATTGTTTTTTACGAAGCAAGGTAGTTCTCAAGCCTATAAATAAATAAATAAATAAATATGGGGGGGGGTCTTCTTGCGGTGGTGTCAAGAAGACCAACATGACGACTTATGAAGCGACCACCGCAAGACGACCCACAACGAACAAACCTCTGCTTGAATTACAGCACAAACTTCCCCAATGTAAACAAAACCCTTAAATGAGGTTACTGTTGACTTCAAAACAAAGACGTTGTTTTTGCGCTGATTAAGCCGCGGTGTGTCAAGCAGGACCTCTACCATTACTGCTCGAACTTTCAGATCGCCAGCTTCAGGTCATGGGCGACATGAACCATTTATTTTACTTAGTAGTGCGCGGACACCTCGTCCTCCTGACTGGCCAGGGACTGCTCAGTAGCCAAAAAAGAACGCTGCTGAGACTAAAGCCTCTTGAAGGGCTATAATTAGAGCTTTTTCCGTTATTGTTCTAAAGCAATTTTGCAAGTGTGATCTTTTGCCGGCGTACCCCCTGCAGTTCCGCTGCCAGATACAGATGGTGCTTTTATCGTCGTCAATCAGGAATTCTGCTTTCATCTCCACCCTGGGCGGTCAGTGTGGATCGAAAAATCTGTCTCTCTGCCTCATAGACTCCTGATCTCTCGGCGGGTGTTGGCATCGTAGTTTTCAAGTTTCCAGGCGACACTCTTTGTGGTGTGGATTGAGACAGTTTGGCGTTATTTTCCAGCGTGATGATGTGCTCGTTCATTATCCTTAGCCCCTCGACTTTATCATTCAGTACAGCCTGGATATGCCTAGCAGTACCTGTGAGACTGGCTACACTCCCGGCCACAATGCTACTGTTCTCCATAATTGTGCTCCACATTGGCTTATATACTCGACCTGAGATTCCGTGTTCTTAAGCTTACTCACTACCCCCCGGGGTTTGGTTATCATGGGCCCATATCTTACAGGAGCAGGCACCCGCGCATTGGGTGTTTCTCCTTCAGTATTGCTGCGCGTCACACTTACTTCTCTTTTAATCACAACCATTTCATTGGCCATCTTGCTGACCGTATCCATAAGCTCTGCGTTTTCCATTCTCAATCGCGATACCACGCGTCCCTAGCATGCTCCGGGGGCGGGTCGCATTGCATGAGCTTCTTACAATCATTGCCACAGACCCCGTCAGCCCAGGTTAGGTTTAATTTGCTCCAGCTCTGGTCATCGTTAATATAGACGGGCGGAGATATTTATTTACCTGCAGTCTGCCATGGTCGAGGGGCCCGGGCCGGTGCCGACAGCGTCAGTTCTTCCTTGGTTAGGTCCAGAACTGGTCTCAAAATGAGCCCAGGATCTGGAACGTGGTCCAGTGCTGTCCTTGGATCCAGACCATGCCTTAGACATGAAGAAGGAACCGGATCACGAAAGAAACCCTCGGCTCACCCTTGAGGTGGAACGACTTCTGCTGCAGCTCCGATTTTTGATCTGCCTCGTGATTTGAATCGGCCTACAGGTGACGATGGCACGAACTGCTCCTGTTGATGACAGCCGTTGAGAACGAGGAAGCCGTCGACCTCAAAAAAATGAGAGCTGCTGAGTGGCGCATGCCCTCAGGCCTCGCCGGCGCCTGACGACATAGGGTATCTGATGTTGGCGCCTGTATTCATTGGATGCAGTGAGGCGTTTTCCACCTTAATAACTACATATTGGTGCACACCAAAGATCCTCTTCTTGCTGGATAGCTTGTCTGCAATCCCGGATAACTGAAGCACCTGGCGTTGGGCAGACGTCAGAGCGGTGTCCGAGTCGGCCGTAGGCATGGCAGATGGGAACTTGCTTCCTGTGTAAAGTGCACTTAATGACGGCGCCACCGTCTGAAACTAAATTGGGAACCTCGCACCCGTCAAACAACACTATTATCACACCAGTATTGTTGATTCTCTTTGTTTCATGGGTCAGTAGATTTCTCGCGTTAACAACAATTCGGCCGATGGCTCCTGGACCACGACTTAGCGGGATCCTTCGGATGACTCCTTTGCAGGTGGGACATGGGCCGGCCACCGTAATAGGTTCGACGATAACGTAGCATTTGACATTCTCTTGGCTTGAAGTACTGACGTGGCCATAATATTTTGCTCTAGATTAGGCCGCATCGTTTCTCCATATCTCTCGTCCAAATCGAGCCCTGCCCCCCCCCCCCCCATACAGCATGTGACACCACAGACAAATCAACCCTGTTCATAGACAGGCCACCTCTTGGCCTCACGACGACCATAGTTTTCTTCACATGGCAGTGGTGCGTCATTCTACCACTATAACGTAATTTCTTGACATCTATAAATCTGTGACGGCCGGGCATAGGCTCTTGAGCAATCGTCCTGAATGCTGGCGTTTTAGAACCAGAAGCTGCACCAGCTTTATTTACTTTCGATCGCCTTCTAATCATCGTAATCCGCACGACATTCACGGTATTTTCCTCAGCGTCCACCGGCGACTTCGATGCTTCCCCTTCTATCTCGTAATGTGGCAAGAACAAGGCCTTTCCTGTTAGAGACGTGTCAATTGTACATTGCGCAGATGGTGGCGCGGCCATGGCATCTGAAACAGTGTATACAATGACTTGCTTATTTGAATACGTGAACATTTTACACGATTCGCAAATTTTTAGGGCATTTGTCTATCTTCGTGTGAAGGCATTTGATAACAATTTAAATAACGCTACTTCAAGTAACGTTTGGGAATGAGAATACTTAGGTGTTTTATCTACTTCGGACATAAGGGGGACTAGGCATGTACAGGAGATAACTAAAAGAGAAGCACGAAAATTGGCCTTTGTAGAACGCATCTTTGGGCAATTATTTAGTATTCTTTGAGGGAGCTGCTCTATTTCAATCACGTGGATTGAATACATGAGTACGAGTGTTTCAGCTTGGATCCCCATACTTGTCACTTAATCGACCTGCTAGAAAGAAAAATTCCCAATGAGGCTGTTCAATTTGTCTGGAAATATATGATAGAAGCCTTAGTATCACTGAAAGTAAGCCGCTCTTCACTGGCAGTACATAAAAGGTAGAATAAAGTCCCTGAGATACCAATATTTTACAGTGTTTATTGTTGAAAATAAGGCAAAGACAGGAGCAAATACATAAAACGTCCGTCATATATTTCGCGTAGAAGTGACCATGCCTTGAAGTTTATGAACTTGCATTTAAAGATGAAACTTTTTGTAATACATCTTTCCTAGGACAACGAGCGAGTGGAATGATCTTCCGTCCGTTATAGTAGAAATACGATGTAGTGAATACGTTTACCGTGCTTGGTGCTGAATATGAATGACTCTTCACTTTGCATATACCCCCTATCTGTAATGCCTGCTGATTGCGATGCAGATAGCTGATAAATGAATAAACTTTTGTGATAATGGGAAACACTGCATACTCACGTCGTGCTGTTTAACCACTCCTCGCCACTTGATACAACACCATCATATGTAACGGTCCAGAAACCATCAACACTCACCATTACCGTGGCTGAGAATTCATCAACTGTGTCGATGAGAGGCCATGGGAACACTTGCTCAGTATCGCGCTGCCCATGGGCCGCCCGAGTTGGCATAGTAGCCAACAAGGCCATGCGACTCGACTTCAGTGCGTATAGCAGGGTATGCGGGCATTACAAGCCTTCACATCTAGCACCTGCCGCCTTTAGCGTGAACGTCGCGTTTATTGTGTATTGCTCTAGAATATAGCAGCCAGCTATAACAGAGCAGCAAGTAGACAGACTGCATAGTGTGACTTTCGGTGTAATGTAGTCGTAGTTGGGAAAGTTACGTAGCGTAGGTAGTAGCCAGTAGATATTGGCGAAAGTTACACAGCGCAAGCCCATTCTTCTAAAAGTGAGGTGTTATGCGCACTGGCTTGTCATGTAGATGGCCCCAAGATGTGTCGTAATGTTTAGCGCTTTAGTGCTTTATTTTGAACAGAATGAAGGCGATCGCAATATTTGCAATTTCCCATCCACAGGGAATGCGACAAATGTTTGGTCAGCCTCTAAATATTTCACATTTCATTAGAATGCCTATGACAGCGTTGCCGCTGACTTATGAGTAAATGACGCTAAACGACGAGCAAGAAGACGCCAAAAAGTCGCCATTTTTTTTTTCAAAATTTTTCCAAATTGTCACTACTCTAGATGTGCGTGGTTTGCCTTATAAAACAGCAAACTTTTTGCTGTAGCAAACTGTACATATGCGTGGTTTGCCCTATAAAACAGTAACCACAGAAAACTGCACTAAAAATAACCCTAAATTATGCTGACGTTTTCAGTGACAGTGGCAGCACCACTTTCACCTTGGGAGTGCTTGGGGCGCTTGGTCGTGCGACTAGCCATGAAATGGGCTTTTGGTGCAATGGTTACCGTTCGTTATGAATGGAACGCTCATGGTATGCTACCATTGCTGTCCGGTCATTTTTAAAATGAAGTGTGGAAAACTTTGGATAAAAATCGGGACAGCCTTGCTTGTAGAGGGCGTCATGTCCCCTCATAGGTCGGCAAACTCACTCATCAGTCAACTCACTCAGACGTAGATCAAGCCGGGACTCGGAGTCTCAGGGAATCGGCGGCAATGTCACTGCTTATAATTTGTATTGTTTTAATGATTCTAGGAACACTTTCGAAGAAGCAGGTTTACGTAAGCAGAAAGCAATAGATATGACACCTTAAGAGCGTTATTCAGTGCGTATCCAGCAGCGAGGGTCATTTTAGAATGCATTTCGCGATGCATTATTTACTTTTTATTGACTATTCTGATACCATTTGCTTACATTACGGCCGAAAAATACAGTGTTTCAGCCCGTACCAAAAACAATACTATAAAAAACGAACTTAAAGTCGGGTGGGAGCCATTGTACGGGCAGCTTATATGCGACAAAGTGTGGCACTTACGCGAATGCAACATTTATAAAGATGGAAAGAATAAGAAGGTTGCTCGCAGACATACAATATGGGAAATTTACGTTATGCGTGAATTCAGAAGGAAAGAAAGGTGTCTTCAACCGAATTTGTGCAATAATATACTGTAACCACGGCCCATGCGTTTAGTGCTAATTCGCCAGGAAATACTTGGCAGAAGCTACACGCGCTGAGGACGCATTGCTCTATGTTATAGGCAAGAAGAGTTCTCGTATAGTTACGAGAATAGCTTGTCCTTGTATATAACAGAAGGCTGCCTCTACCGAGTTAGTTACGCCACTGGCATTTTAAAAATGGTATAACTGCAGGCTTATAGAGATCAGAAAATGATACCTTTGTGTAGTTCCCCACATGCGCGAAAACTGTCCAAGAGCCACCAATGAATTTCTTCAGAGGTTAACGTATAGCTACTTTAGGCGACGCGTAGTCTTCTGATATCATCATCATCATCATCATCATCACCATCATCATCGTCATCATCAACCTTACTACGTCCATTGCAGGACAAAGGCCTCTCCCATGTTCCGCCAGGAAACTCCGTCCTGTGCTTGCTGCTGCCAATTTATACCCGAAAACTTCTTTATCTTATTTCGGAAGGGTGCATATTTCAAAAGACAGCGCAGAGAAGTCAGGAAACGGTGAGCATGGTGGTATTAATTAAAATATAGCCCATGTAGAAGTGGTTTCTGTGCATTAAGTTAATTTACTTTGAATAGGCCAGAATTCCTTTTTCTAGGCTGCCATATCTTGTGTTTTTGCTTCCTCTTGTAGTGAAATATTCGGTGTCAGGCTCACGAACATTTTCATTTCTTGTACATTCTTGCTACCCACAATTTTTTCTTAAATGAGCACTTGCTTTGCCCACCGAAATAATTCATAACCGCTAGCATTCTTAATGACCAATAAGTCTTCATTCTCGTTCTCTACAGTGAAGGACTTGTCATCATAAGATGGTTTGTATATCTTTCTACGTGTGTGCTTTCAACTCGAAGAGACTGCGAAAACCGATCTTCGCCGTCTAGTGGCCGTATTCTCTTACGCCATTGTTTTGTGCAGTTACGTGATGCGATTCGCATGGGCTAGTTGCCAACCTAACGTTGAATTACATTAGAATTAGTAACTATCAGATTTATTGCTTTTTCCTTGCGATGAAACTGATGTTTTTTTTGCAATGCACAGTTTGGATATAAGCCTCGAGGCTATATCAGATCAGAAGGCTATATCAGATATCAGAAGTCTAATTAAAATTACCGCATGTAAAACGTCGATTCCGAAAAACTTATGTACACTGAAACACTACCTCTGATGTCGAAGTAATATTTCAATAAATCAGTTGTACATAAATCCTAATTTTTTAGAAATACATGTTTCTTTTTTAAGAAAAAGGTAGTGCTAATCACCCTTCTTATACCATTACACATAACATTTAATCTAAATGATAGCGTGATGGCATGCGCTCTCTGGAGCTTTTATGTACACATTTGCGTTTTGATAATTATTTTGCTGTTCCTTCCTGTCGGCTTCTATCGTGTTCCGTTTTATCGAAGGCATGATATTACAATACGTTTTTCTGGTGTGTAACTTTTTTCGTCCTCCTGCGCATCTTTGTGTAATTTACACTCGTAGTATTATTCATGCTTCGAGTGTAACAGCACTCAGTTTACCTAGAAATTAGTTTAGCGTGCACCTTCTCTCTGCCTACTAGCAAGAAGTTTATAGAAAGTATAGTAGCGTCAATCGACATGGGAAAGAAGTGACAGACCATAAAGCAGACGCACGTACATAACAAATACATTTTTATTTATTACAACAATAAAGTAAAATCTTGTCATAACAAACACAGCACGGTCAACAAGTGAAGAAGGTAGCTCTGTACTCTGTGCTTCGTTTAGCTTAAAACACCATTAAAATATATATACACATATCTTGGCAAACAATACTGCACTCTTCATTTGGTTACGCAGACAAACTCATGAATGTAAGGAAGCAGATACGTGCCGGTGCACATTACTAAGAAGACATGCTTTGAGGGAACAGAATTTCAGATGGCGTCACCCTGCTGTACTTTGCAGCTCCATATTCCGGTGCTCCACATGAGACGTCTTATGTGAGAACGTCGGCAGCAATTCACTTTCCTGAAAGCGACTTTTACATAACTGAACATTTCTTCAAAGCACCCCAACTTTCCCGGTTGGAACAGATGACCTCACGAAGGAATGAAATTCCAACAAATTGTCCTCAGTTAGTACGACGTACGAAGTTTCTGGACCAACCGAATCGCAAGTTCCATTATGTCTTTCTCAACGCAACTTTTTTCACGCTATCTGGGCGTGAACTTTCGGTCGACAACCATTTTCATGAAAAGGAGAAAAAAATTGTACGATACTGTTCACCTTGGGCTCACTATCTTCGATCTTTTTTTCATTCGTAGTCGTGTGGAGGATATAGAAAGACAATGTCTATTTCGGTAACTAAAGCCTACTTACACCAGTGCAGGACATGCGATCTTTTACGCAAGTGCTGAAGCCAGCAGTACGTAGTTTTTTTTCCTTTAAGGCAGGTAGCACCCCTTCCAGATTAGAGCGGCTACGCTAGAACGATTTTTTTTAAGAACAATACAAAAAAATTACCAACGCCAGTCCAGCAATGGCCAAGTAAAGTACTGAACAACTCGAAAGTTCTATTCTGCCCGTATGTCGTGAACAGTGCATCACCAGTCTGCTGAAACAAGGTTCTACCCTTCACATGAAGACATCACATATACGGTTCAGACATTCTGTCCCATGTCACACAAGCCTTCCGTAAGAGTTGCAGTGAGGCGAATTAAGATATAAAAGTTCAGGATCTCAGAGAGAAGTCACCCCCTACTAGAAATATGAAAAATATTTTGTCCTGGGAATTGGGCATGCAAAAAGAAAGAAGCAGCAGCATATCTTCTATACTGAACAGTTCACTGCAGGAATTTTTGTATTACTGCAAAGCTAATGGCCATTTACATGTCTTAACAGCATCTGATTCAAGTACTTTTTATTTCTATTTGAATGTTTTGCCTCTGAAAAATTCAGCTGTGGATTTTCATTATCGCCAGTTTTGCTCGTAAATGTGTGCAAAATTTTTTGTATTTTAGGCAAGAAAAATATTTTTTCAGCCAACTCACGACATTTTTTCTCGCATCATGAGCCATTTATGAGTGGCTTGCTTATACAATGTGGTTACGAAGCTCTCGTCACCTTTTAGCAAAATCAAGCAGCTCTCCAGTCTCGTCATCATTCTTCCAATCCTTCAATACTCTAAGGCGAGTTACATCCACATGTTGAATATTTTGATTCACTTTGATTCCATCATTTTATATTGCCAATATAATCAGCCATCCGAAACTGTGAACTTTCTTCGATAGACTGGAGGCATTTGCTATTTTCTGAAAGTCACATACGTTTTAGAGAAAGGGCATAAACATTCCCATATTCACAAGTAATTGAAACTCTGGCGTCGTTTCAGTCATTCTAATCACCTTAAATTTGTGTATCCTTCGCTTTTAAAGGATGAAACTGTACTGCTGCCTTCATGTCCCTTGAGTATGGCCTAAGTATAGAAAATGCTTTCCATACAGCTACAACTTTTCCTCACCAAATAAGTGAAAATGGAGATGACATGCATGCCTGAGGGGACAGTATGAGAAGAAATCAGCTTTCGGCTGAACAATACAATGGGTTATTTGAGGTGATTAAAAGTGCATGAGCAGGTAGAGCACGAACACATAGGCATGCAAACACAGAATCATTCGATACGCTCTAAAATAGACATGTAGGTGTCCACCAGAAAATATTGCTTCAAAGAAACGTTGAAGGTCTGAATAAAGATGTTTCACTGACGCGTTTATCGAACCTAGCCATATGCTCACAAGCATACCACTAAGCTCCATACAAATAAAACAAACGCCAAGTCAAGCTCCTCCAATAATGTGATGTTTCAATAATCACGTCATGCTGCAATATAACACTTTTAAGCCCCATCTACTAATAACAGAAGTAAACTGAATGTATCCTTTTTCTGTACATCATACCTACATGTGTCGTGCCCTCGATGTGAAGCTTGTAATAGTTCCATCAGTAATCGCAAAGATGTTTTTACCATTACCATTTTTAACGAAACAAAGCGCTAACAAAGCAATATAGTCGGATGCACACGTACAATCCACAGCCCTTGTCGAACAACCCTAATCGTAAATTTGTCTTCTCGTCCAGAGACTACCAATCTAAATCTCTTGCATCCAAGCGCCTCAAATACCTAAAAACAGAAGCTGCCCAACTGTTACGCTCTGTACATTCATGTCTGGACGTAACGTAAAAATACCGACATTCGTCGAAATATGAAGTGACGTGAATACTATGACCTGTAGGGAACCCCGATGTCATATGAAAGCAATCTGCTGTCGACGACAGGAGGTGTCGTTGCCCTGTATCCCTGTTGATTTGTCCCACTTCCTCTTATGTCGCCTAGACCAGATCCCTGATACTGTGAGTAGTCATCAATGGTGGTATACTGGGGTTGATAGGGCCCCCCGAATTGCGTCTGGAATGGACCAGAATCTGGATACTGGTAGCCGCCTCCGAGGTCCTGTGACGTTTGCTGAACTGGACTGAACAGGTTGTTTCCAACCTGGTATCCACCTCCAAACTGCTGCTGGAAAGGATCGTAACCTTGCTGTGCCCCTCCTATACTGTTGAGCTGTGGCTGAGCACCAAGCGTGTTCTGTTGTTGTTGCTGTGGTGTGCCGAGTCGAAACTGGCTCTGGCTTGACGGTGGTGCTCCAGGAGCAGATGGCTCGGACTGGGGAGTCGGAGTTGTTCGTTGCTGTGGTTCGAGAGACTGTTGAAATTGCAGTGCTGGCCTAGGTGTCGTCTGGTATAGAGGCACACCGGGTGAAGTAGCAAACTGTTCGCCCGGCCTTGATGGAGTTTGGTATTGTAGGCCTGAAGGTCTCGGCGTTTGGTAGTCGAATGGTGCGGAAGTTGTCCTATCGCCACTTAGAGTGGATAGCGAGGGCGCTGGAGGTGGAGCAGGTGTGGGTAGTTGCAAAGTGGTGCCGACATCATCCACATACTGGTCCTCGGCTGCCGTGGAGCGAGAGCTTAGCGATAGAGGCGTCGTTCCCAAATCATTTGCTTGGTTGCCACCTGGTGTCGCTTCTGTGACGAAACTGTTACGCTGATGACTTGGAGTTGTTTGGGAAGCAGCGGCGGCAGCCTGGTTGGGAAGTGTCAGTGGAGCCTGACCGCGTAATTGGGAATCGACAAGCCCTGGCGTTGGCGCACCACGAAATGGGGCCGCAGGATACTGGCTTTGAAAGCCGCCAAATTGAGGAACGCTGCCAGAAGGAGGTCCGAACACATGAGCGGGTTGCACTGCGGGGAATGGATTCGCCAACGCTGGTCGCTGCTGTCCGAAACCACCTTGCGCCGCCCCCGAAGCGTCAACAAAGCTTCGTTGAACTGGAAGGGGAAAAGCTTCTGATGTCCTGTTCCTTAGAGGTTGTGCCTGAGCACCTTCTGGTACCCTTGGCTGGCCTGGCACGGGAACGTTTTCCACGAATGTGCTGTTTCGGGGCACAAATGGCGCTCCAAGGGCTGGAAAATAGTGCTGTGGGACAGGAGGACCTTGTCCAGGGTTAAATCCTGGCAGCTGATAGATGGGCCTTTGAGGGAATGGAGAACTTAGGTGTGGTGGTGCCTGCCCGGGTAACAAAGAGGGCTGTCCAAATTGGCTACGAGGGGGCAGTGGGAACGCCCCTGGTTGTCCTAGTAGTGGTCTCTGCTGTGACACAATTGTGTTTGGCAGGTCCACAGGCCTAACAGGAGAGGTATCAGGCTCTTTACCGGCTGATGGAGGCGTTTCTATAGGTGCCGGAGTGACAGCCGCCGTGTCGGCCTGGGTGACTGGGGGAGTCAATACAGAAGGCTGAGTTAACGGTTGCTGAGGCACCGTGACAGCTTGGCCGTACGTGTTGTAAGGACCCTGTGGAAGTCCATGCGTTCTGTAGAACGACTGTTCTGCCGAAGGAAATACGGGAGTCACCAGCCCAGGCGTCGAGGATACAGTGCTGACCGGAAGGGTACCAGGTGTCACAATGCTGGAAGTAGTCGTTGGCAAAGGCTCCGGGGTAGTTGTTGCGGGTATAGGTGTCGTGACTTCTTCAGTGGATACCTGTGGAAGCTGTAGAGGTCTAGATACTTTAACTCGCCTTCTCTTAGATGACAAACCAGCGGCTGCTCGGTGCGGTGCCCTGGTTACCGGTAAGTCGGGAAACTCAGATTCAATGGAGAGCGTGGGTCGGCGAGTTCGCCTAGTTGTATGGTAACGGCTCCTGTGGCGCGGTGAAACAGTCGGTCGCTCCTCTGCCTGAACGTCGGGGTCACGGCTTTGATCTGACTGAGCCACAATGGTCTGTGAGGAGCGCCTTCCACTCAGCCGCATGCCGAAGCCGAAGTTTGTTCCTGCTGCAATGCCATGTGTTGAGTCGACTAGAGATGGCGGTGGCACGTAGGGTTCGACGGCTGGCTCAGCGCGTGTGGGTGGGGCTCGTTGAACTTCTGGTTCGCGCACAATATGGGATTGGCGTCGTGCCGAACCGAAGCGCTGAGGCGGTCTGTGAACTTCTATATCTCGAGGCCCTTGCGGCTGACGCTCTTGATCCGGTGCTGCGGTGGCCGGAGGTCGCCGGTGCCTTTGGATTACTTGCGGAGCTCCGTGACCTTGAACAGGTCTTTGAGCTTGTGGAAGCTCTTGCTCTTCGGTCGCAACCCGTTGAAGTTGAGTGGGCCTCCGCACTTCTGGAATTGGAAACTGTGCCAGCTGTGGTCCTTGTTCTAGTGGCGGTGACTGCAGAGGAGGTGGTCCTTGCACGGACGTTTGGCGCTGTCCTGGTGGGGGCAAGTTAGCCAAAGGTGGTCGGTGAAGTTTTCTCGGTCTCACGATAGAAGAGGGGCGCTGAGGAGCTGGTGAGGGTTGAGGTTCCGGTGCCTCAACGACTTTTGGTGACTCTTCCTCTTTGGTAGCTTCTTCGCTCTTCACCTCCTGTGCGGGAGCCTCAGTGGTAGTGGTGGAGGTGGTGGTGGTAGTCTTCTTTGGGCGCTTCCTACGAACGAACAGATAGGAACAAAGTAATATAAATCACACTTCAAGTTTACAATAAAACTATTCATGCATGACTCCCTTCAAAATCTTCTAAACCATGCGTGCCACATTGATGTTAAAAGTTACCGAGCTCCGATAAAGCGGTTTGATGTCTGTGTAAACATACAAGATTCATTTCGGGTATAAAAGGAATATTTTTTCAATACTAGCAAAAAATAGTGTTCTTGATGTTATTCAAAAGAAACTTAAAGATTGAAAGGTGGACCATGGACGAATGTTTTTATAAGGAGTTGTTTTTAATTCATCTACGTGCTGTAACTTGTAGTTTCGGCTCAAATGGAAGCCTCAAATGACATATTCATAAACTACTGTTTCTTGCACCTTGTACAACCAATACTAGAATTCGTATTTTGTGCTTTCATAGCTACTTCTGTCCCTCCTGCCCCATTTTCCACAGCGAATACAATGCCAGTGAACAGCGTAACTGCACGCTGAAATAATTATGCAGTTTTGTTTGATCAAGCTAAGTGGCGAGATGGTACAAAGAAAGAAGCGATACAGATTATTAGGATTTTATTTGTTTGTATCTTCTCTTTCCATGCTATTTCACTGAAGATGCACTGATGGCAACTCACTCAGCTTTCAGTATTCTTTACCCGCGTGCACTTGTGCATAAGTAATAACAATGAGATTTCACATACGTACAAGCCTGGGAGATGATTTAGACTCCAACCAGACGCTTCGTCCGGTTAGTGTCTAAACCGGACGCTTCGGAACTGACTTGGTTCCTTCCTCAGGGGTGACTGTGTTACTTACTTGCAAAGTGATATAAACAGCATCTTACGAAGTAAGGTTGCCTTAGTTGAGATTATGCACTTCACTGAAGCTGTAGTTCTACTTCATTACATGGAAAATTTTCATAGACACTAGCAGACAGTCTGGTGTCGAATGTTTACTTTGACATACAAGCCTGTGCACGACTGGTGTTTTACAATCATCTAGTCTTTAGTTGACTGTTATTTGCTTTGCGAGATCGCTTCTTGAAGGAGTACCTGTATCTGCACTTAAGTGTATCCATATACAAATAGTAATCTTATACATAATTCTGTTTTGTAGAGTACTTTGCTTCACATAACGCTGATTGTATTTTTTGGCGGTGAGGTAAGACAGCTTTATTTATCTAAAGAACTCGTGTTTTCCGGTCATGATTTTGCATAGGTGTACTCTTCAGACAGCAGATTTTTTAAACAGTCTGTCCTCGTATTGATAGTTTAGGTAGTCACCTTGAGCGAACAATTTCTTTCCGTTAGATCAGCTATCTATGTGTAAATGTAATGTTATACTATGTTTCGCGGACTTCCTTGCCATATGCACAAATTAATGCGCATAAAGCGTTACCTCTGTGCTTGCAGTGAAAATTCATAACTGCTTTTGAACGAGAAAACAAATATATGCAGCTTAATTTCTTTTCATTAACCCTTCCGCCACCTGGCAGAGTCTGCGGTACTTACTTGCAAAGTGATATAAACAGCATCTTAAAAAGTAAGGTTGCCTTAGTTGAGATTAGGCACTTCACTGAAGTAGTTCTGCTTCAGTACATAAAAAATTTTCATATACATTATTATAGCATTATTAGTTTTTCCAAGAATATCTGTTTGAAATCCCTGAGAAGTTGTAAAGTGTTGTAGCATGGTTTGAAAATCGCTCGTATGCGTTGAAAAACACTTGATCTGAATGGGCATTCCCTGTTTATTTATTATTGAAAAATATTTCATTTCATTTATTTGCACCTTCAATGCTCGAAGCGATTACATACAAAAGATTGGGTGTGGGGCAACAAAAACAATATCAGTAATCAAGGCTACGAAAAGTAGAAAAGAAACTAGGAAAAACGCATGTGCTGATTAGAAAAATAGCTAAAAAACCTACAATTGATAGTAAGGTAGAAACGAACAGGAGTGAACAAAAAAAGAAAAAGTGATGAATCAACGTGGCAAATGCCACCCAAAAGCGCAATAAACCAGAAACTCGACAAAAATAGCCAATTATGCCATATAGTTAGTTCATTTTTGTTATTATTAAATGTGACAACACTTTCTGTCTGTCCCTGAAGCTCTGCAAAACTATGTGGAAGTGAACCACCAATACGATAAGGCTGTGTTAAATGGGCTTGAACAAGATATGTATCCTATGTCCCACCCGCACTTTTGTGATCTAGTCATCAGCGTTACTCTCTCCCACGAAAGAAAATGATCAGCAGTCATGACAAGTCGCCCCTGAGTACTAATATTTTTGCAGGGGCAAAAATTATAAAGCGGGCTTAGTTACTACCTGTCTTGTAAATTTGTGAACGAAATATCTCTGACTGCCTAAATTTTCACAAATAGTAGTGATAGAAACCGAGAAAAATCAGCCTCAAGTTTATAACAATGTTCCGCCAAGTTGCACATACACGATACAGACAAATGTTTTGCTTAAAAACTGACGTCGATGACTTGTGGAATGCTTTGATTGTTTCATTGATTGATTGATTTGTAGGGTTTAACGTCCCTGAACCCACAGATGATTATGAGAGACGCCGCAGTGGAGGGCACTGAAGGTTTAGACCACCTGGGATTCTTTAACGTGAATCTAAATCTGGCCACACGAGCCTACAGCATCTCCTCCATCAAATATGCAGCCAGGGCAGCCGGGATTCGATCCCGCGACATGTGGGTCAGCCGCCGAGTACCTTAGCCACTATAGACCACCACGGCGGGGCGTAGTATGCTTTCGTTTTGTCCCAGTTTACACGTCTCTTGTGCATGAGTTACTAAAAATATGGACATTCATTCCCTTTGTACGGGTAATTTACAAATTCAGGGATACATCAAACTTCTTATTTTCTTCCTCACTGAAAAAAAATAACGCCAGGCCTGCGCAGAAGGCGCAGCATAGTAACAGCGAAAGTTAGAAGAGCGACATTTCAGTGGCTTTTCTAAACACTCATTGGGTAACTGCTGCAAGCACACTTGTTTGACAACCACTACAGCCCTAATAATAGTCATTTTGGGTAGTAAGTCAGAATTTGCTATGCTGTTTTTTGTCATTCTTCTGAGAAGCGTGGTTTCCGCTAAACACTTGCAAAGAATTTTGTGCCGATTGTTTATGCAGTGCCTGACGACGATGGGGAACCTTAACAAGCTTTTGTAATGGGTTGTAATGAGCACCCACTCATTATGCTATTCACATTTGTGCAACGACTGGTCTTCTTTCGCTGTTTTAAAATGCTTTACAAGTCGTATTAACGCGACTGCTTTCTCTACATCAAGCCTGCGTAAGGCAAGTTTGCCAAGAAGTTCCAAGCACCGGCGTGCCTCAGTGGTAGAATACTAAGCTGGCGCCCAGCGGATCCGGATTTAAGCCCCACTGCGTCATTGCTAATAGGTTTTTTTACTAATTATTTGCGATGTGGTTATGGACACCGGTGGTGGCGGCGGTGGTGGCGGACAACTACGGCGCCACGCTGAGCTCGAGTTTTGATCTCATAAAAGCTTTCGCTGTAATATGTGACCATGCAGATCTTTGGGCCAAACAGGAACTTGAAGCAACGCTCTTAAGTTTTCAACGCATGCTAATGTGTATACATGCTCATGTTGACCATGCATACGTGCACTCATGCTTAAATCATGCTCAACCTTACCTCGCAACGTCTTAAGGGAGAAGAAATGAGACACTTCTGTGAATATATAAGTATTGTATTTCAGCTGTTTATTTTCTTCTTTATATATTTTGTTGATGAAAGCGTATTGCGCTGATAACGGCATGATGTGCGTGCATCCACTACTATAGCAAATAATTGGTATACATAGTGAAACGTTGATGACACGTACATGTACACTGTGTACCATATGCAGCCACAACCAGCCCTCGAATATGCCCGTCTGCCATGGCATCAACAGGATTCTCGTGTCAGTTGAAAAGTAGCGCTTGTACATGTTCTTTCTCGTTCCTTATTAAGCCCCTGCGTTATTACGCTATCGATCATGCTGTGCGAACCACTGCGATCTCCCTTCCTTGTGAACGTTCTACAGCTCCCTGTGAGATTATTCCAACGTCGTGCTGGACATCTTATATTCCCATCACACCTTTGTTTTGTGACAAGAGGACGAATGGGTCTGTGGTACCTTTATTGATACATCCTTTATATGCGACGTTTACATTTCCACGCGTTTTTCATTTCATTTGTTAGCGTGTGAACAACATAGGCTGATTTTCATGGTATCTGCAAATCGCCATCTTAAGTACAACGCACTGCAAGTTACATGTCAGAGACCCTGTCACTGCATAGGTGACATATAACTTTCTGAGCTTGGTACACATTAAGACTTGTCTATATGTCTAGCTGTAGCTATCATAGCTGTGAAGCTGTGTATATAACCAAACATTTTGCCGCCAACTGTGAAACGAAAACGGCTCGCTTTGTACGACTTTATATATATTATATATATATATATATATATATATATATATATATATATATATATATATATATATATATATATATATATATATATATATATATATATATATATATATATATGTGTGTGTGTGTGTGTGTGTGGGAAGGTCACGCAAACAGTACTTTAATGCCTTCTATACAACCATTCAGGGTGGTCCCTAAAAGCTTAAGAGAGCCATATACGTAGGTGACAGTCCTTTGGAATGAGATGACCACACTTTGGCATTAACTGACCGAGTGTACGTACGACTTTTAAGTCTAGCTTGCGTATAAGCTGCCTTTGTTAACATGAAAAAATGTTGTAGCTCGTTGATTTGATTGATTGATATGTGGGGTTTAACGTCCCAAAACCACTATATGATTATGAGAGACGCCGTAGTGGAGGGCTCCGGAAATTTAGACCACCTGGGGTTCTTTAACGTGCACCCAAATCTGAGCACACGGGCCTACAACATTTCCGCCTCCATCGGAAATGCAGCCGCCGCAGCCGGGATTTGAACCCGCGCCCTGCGGGTCAGCAGCCGAGTACCTTAGCCACTAGACCACCGTGGCGGGGCTGTTGTAGCTCGTTGATAGCAGTTCTTATGCAGCTACTCGTCTTTAAAACAATTAGAAGTGACGTTGAAAATGGTTTATATCTTATGGAGTTAGCACATCAAAAGACCCTCACAACTAAATAATTGACTGAAATCATATCGCCTCGGTGAGTGCGAAACACTACAAAACCTATAAGAAGGAACAGAAAGGAAGCAGAGTAACACATTTAGACTGGCTGACAATTTATCGATGCAAACTGCGCTTAAAAATGCGTTGTGTGGCGGAGTGAGCAAGCAAGCTAGATCCTTGCAGGAAGAGAGAGAAAATATAATTACAAGCATCATGTCGCGGTGTCGTACGTGTATCGATGGCCTTTTATCAACTTTCCATGTAACGAATGATCGTTGCCCCTGTATAGAATGAGAAATATTTTGCCTTTGAAATATTTGTCGCCCACAAGATCAGTGATGTGATAGCTTTTGCTTGAGCTGCTTAGTCTCTGATGATCTACGTGTAAGGAACATTCTTACGCTGGTTTGCAATCAATGCCACATCATGATCTCATGAGTTTATAATGTGTTCGTCTTTGGTTTGAGCAGCAAAATACATTACATGTTTCTGGGTCGAGTGTCAAATATATGGTGGGTTTAACTAGCGTAACCAGCTTAGTTAATCAGGGTTTAGCCAGGTGGCTTGTAAAAGATTCTGAGAAGCTTTTCTACGAAAGGCCGCTTCAGTAATAGCCCCTTCCAATGTTGTAGGAAAGCAGCATCTTGTTTACCACGGGAGGACCCGTGTACACCTGGCGACGATAGCCGCCGTTGTCATAGTGGCGCTGCTGTCCGTACCTCCTCCTGTGCGGGCGAGGCCTGGCGATACGGGGCTTCTGCGGGGGCTGCTGTGGAGGTTGCTCCTCGGCTACAACAGTGGGCTGAACCGCGGCGTCTGGTTCAGCGTACTGCTCGCGGGCCACCGTGCCCGAGGCGTGAAGTCGGCTACGGAAGTACTCGGCCTGGATCTCCTGCGCCGACTTGGAAGGCAGTGGCACGGGTGCCACTTGGGCCCTGGGCGACTGCTGCGTCTCCACATTGCGGCTTTCCTCCTGAAACTGCGGCGCTCGTGGCAGTAGCTGTTGGGCTCGCTGTGGCACTTCGTCGCTCTGCGAAGAACAGGAGGCAGTTCACGAAACAAGAACAAAATAAAAACATCCAGTGTGCGTCACTATCTTCATGAAGAACTTTTTCTTGGGCCAGTAGGTGCACAAGCTCGCTGAAAGTTTTATTTATGGTGCAAAGCTTAGAACATGAAGACGGAAAAGGAAGAAAGACAGATGGAGCTCACCTGTCTTCCTTCTTTTTTTTGTTTTTTAACTTCCATGCATTGCGCCAAAAATAACATGTTCAGCGAAAAGAATCTTCATGCATTTTACCAGCGATACTTCAAACTTAGTGTAGACTTAGTTTAGAACATTGTGCAAAACTTCTTTAGGAGCGAGAAGTCTCAGTACAGACAAAGCTTTGTATCGTACACTCGGTTTAACCTGACATACAAAATAGTGGTATGAAAAGATACAAACAACCAGCTCACCCGTCATCTATATAGCAGAGGCCTTCGAATAACTATAGCCCAATAGAACTTCACACGTACTCATTGAATTTAACTTTGGTATTCAAATATTCATTAGTTAAATTAAACTACTGATTGAAGTAAATTATGGTGAGCCTGGAGCAGCCGTAAGGCACAATGCAGTTGTATGAAGATAGAAAGCACCACTGTATATGTTTCTGTCGTCGAAGTGGGGTCCCACCCGGTGCCAACACTTATAGGTAGCAGTTTTTCTCATTTATGAGCTAATTGAAGGCTAACTATTATCTCAACTATGTGGCGATAAAACCTTAATTCGAAGAGACTCTTACATTATTGACCGTATTCCTATTTCATAAATTGATTTTATCATTGCTTTTACACTTCGTGGACGTCCTGTTTGCCATGATGTACCTCAAACAGGAGGAATAAATGAGGAAGGACAGGGAGGTTAGCCAGTTCTCATACCGGCTGGCTACCCTGTACTGGGGAAGGGGGTAGTAGTCAATACACAAGCGATCTAAACAGCTAACAATAATCGTTTTTTTTTCGTCAGCTTTTATACGTTCCCTCGTTCTTTTTCTGCTCTCAAGATAAATTCACACGTTGCGGCCTGCTCGTTTCGGTAATTTTGTGCATTATTACATAACGTTCCAGCCAAAACCTTTGCAGGGGAAGCCGTGGTGCTGGGCAAGTCGTCCTTTTCGAGGAGTGTGTCCTTCGGGGGCTCCTTGTCCAAGATGCGTTCGTCCTTAAGTATGACGAAGCCGCTCTTGCCGGCTGTGTAGTGCACGCGGCGCATGTGTCCCCTGGAGTCCACGTAGCCGTAGGAACCGCGGATGCTGCCATCTGGAAGCCGGAACTCCTGGCGGAAGCTGTGTCCCAGGGGCCCGTTACCGGAGTCGTAGCCGAACCGGTACTCGCCATCCAGCTTCTCGCCGATGCTGACGTAATGAACGGGCGCTGGAGGATAGTAGCGAGGTAGGGCCGGTGCCGACCGCGGCAGGGCGGAATCCTGATAATACGGTGCATCCTCTTGCTTCTCCTGTGGGTGCCGTTCCACGGTTGTCTGTTCCAGTCGTTGCTGCTGGAAGCGCTGACCGCTGGCTTCTGCTGCCAACCAGCAGCAGAGGACCTGCGTCAATAAAAAAAAATACATCGGGTCAGCAACTTGAGCGCCATTTTTGATGGTATAATGTCCCACTTGTTCGAATTTATGAAATTATGAAATCCGAGAATAACAGACCACCACTTGCCGACTAACCCGAACACTAAATATAAGCCTCAGTGAAAAAAAAAGATATTAGCGCACCTCACGCATCTTGAGAATTGATGTCGTGCGAAGCAGTCAATGAGAAACCCTCTATGCGGCATTTCGTGCTTTATTCCACACATTAGAAGGTGGATCGTAATTAATCTGTACAGTTAGTAGTTATGCGCACACCATGCGCTTGAGATACACGCCGACTACACTGTCTCGGAAAGGGTAGCTCATGGACCAACGTCATAGTTTCACTCAGATTACAGCACAGGCGTCCGTTTCACCATAGCGAATCGCACGCTGCGTCGAAATTCAACTTCGGAGTTTAACTTCGAATTGCAATCTTCATGTTCGAAGTAGCGGTTATCACCGTATTTCATCAACACTTGTCAATACATTGCTGAGCCACAACAGTACATTGACATCGTTCGTGAAGACCACTGGAGGTGCTCCTTTGGCGTGACGCTTTATAAGGCTTGTTTTCTAAAGAAAATTAGAGCACTGCTGTGGCACTGTGGCAGAATACTTGAACGTCACACAAAATGGCTCGTTTCGATCGCAGCTGGAATACTGATCTTTATTGTTTACATTTGTCGGGATTTTTCACTCATCATCAATGGCGTCGCCACTGGCACAGAATTTTCAGCAACGTGACCTGTTCCCGCCTATACTGGGCTTACATCGCATGTCACAGCATGTGCAAATGCTCGCTCATTTCACCACTTCGCTCCGTCGTTGCATATATATATATATATATATATATATATATATATATATATATATAGACGCTCACAAAGAAATGAGAAAGGATGAGTGAGAGCGTGATTGCAAGTGCTAGCTTAACTAGACTCTTGTTCCGTGCATTTTCTCAAAGCTTTTTGGCAACGGATATATAGAGCTGCCAACTTCTTTTTGATTATGTAGTGACGAAGACTCAACACAGCCTAAAGTTCTCCGACGATAACTCGGCTTCTTGTCCCTGCGAGCCGACCTTGAGCTTCAGCCTTTCTCAGAGTGTATGTGTGCACCATACTTACACATACATTTGCACTGTGAACTGACTATCGTAATCCTAGCCAGAGAAAGCGTGAGTGAGTGACTGAGTGCGTGTATGTGTGGTGCAATCACGCACAATTTCTAAGTTTATTTGATATTTGATTGATATGTGGAATTTAACGTCCCAAAACCACCATATCATTATGAGAAACGCCGTAGTTGAGGGCTCCGGAAATTTCTACCACCCGTGGTTCTCCACCGTGCACCTAAATCTGAGCACACGGGCCTAAGTTTTCGCATTCATCGGAAAATTGCTAAGATTATGATAAGGTGGCGTTCATAACGCGAATGGTTATGTTTGGGAGTAGATACACCAGCGGATTTTGCAGCATCTCCTGCCTATTGCTTGCTAATCTGCGGGACGTTTCTAAATTAAAGTTCTTCACATAGCAAATAACAAAGATTCCGCTGACTTAGAAAATGTGAATTTTTTCTCCGCATACAATGTGAAATGGCAGGCTCACGAGAGACGGTGTGCTGATAAAACTAACATGGAACTTAAAGAAGCAAACTACCACGAACAGTACTGACTGAAGCTATTTTGTTTCTAACCGTGAAGAAGAGCCATCGCTCCCGCTTCAGCGGAAAGCGGAAGTAAGTGAAGCACTGTGTACATTTAATGACGTTTCCGCGTTTCGGCTGTTTATATTCCGGATAGAATGGTGGCTAAAATTATTGAACAAAAAGCCTGTAAGGACAGATGGAAGCACCTCGATCTGCCTGCTGCTTCTCAACGAGGGATTCCTATCTGATTACAATATCTCTAAGAACAAAAAAAGAACACAAAGAGTGGATCTCAGATGCCTGATTTAGATAGTTGACATCCTTCCCGTTTTTCACTCCGAGCCAGCAGGTCCCGTATTCCTGTTTTATTTCCTTGACAGCACCCGAAGGCGCTGAGCACCCTAAATGCAGTCAATTCAGGCAGCTGAGATTGTGGAAGCTGCCTTGTTGGTTCAAGGTTTACTTTAGCGGCGAAGCTCCTTTAAGCGGCACCCATTTGTCCCTCGTCGTAGTGCGTAACCAGTCATACGTTTTCACCTGCAAGGTGGTTCCGGTGGGAGATTTCTCCTGTGTGCTTTGAACAAAAAAAAATCGCAGGGTGCGCGTTAATTAAAAGCCCAATTTTCCTGTTCCTCATTCGCCATTAACAGCCATTGGCATGTACATTGAGCTCTATCTGACAAGAAAGGGTTGCTACGTTATACTCGCTGGGCGTAACCTCCTTGGTTTTAGAAAACTTTAGTGAGCGTTGGGCCGCAGTTCCATGAATACAGTGAACTAGTATATACCATGAACAGGAGGTGGTTAAAGGTGGGAAGTAGACACGAAGCAAAAGCCGAATTCTCCTTTCTCTCATTCCCCATTAACAGCCATTGGCATGTACATTGAGCACTATCTGACAAGAAAGGGTTGCTACGTTATACTCGCTGGGCGTAACCTCCTTGGTTTTAGAAAGCTTTAGCGAGCATTGGTCCGCAGTGCCATGAGTACAGTGAACTAGTATATACCATGAACTCGAGATTGTTAAAGTTGGAAAGTAGACACCAAGCGCAAGCCGTAAGAAAGTGTGCGTGTTCCACCTCGGGTTTAGTCCTTGGAATGTCCGCTGGATCGCGCTGCTTCTATATGCGGAATATATGATAAAAAGTTGCGAGATGGTGGTACTTGGAGTGTTGACTGGATGGACGAACGTACACACAGACAGACGCACAGACCGACGCACGGATGGCTGCATGGACGCAAAGACGCATGGACGGGCGCAGGGACGGACGCACGGATGGACGTGCGGACGCACTAACAGATGCACGCACGGAGGGGCGGATGGATGCATCGAGGGTCACACAGACAGACGCATGGACGGACGGATGCTTCGCCCCACTCTCCAACATTCACCCCATGGATATGCTGCCATGTTTGTTGTTGTCGTTGTTGTTGTTGTTGTTTCGTGTTTCGCGCGAGATTTTTAAGTGTTCTCAAGTGGACTACCACGTAAATTTCAAGCAAGTGTGTGAACAGTAATAATAACTGCTGCTTTTTTTATAAATACGCAGAAATTTCCTTGTACATTTCGTCTCTGAAAATTGTCGTTCATTCCACACTGTCGCTTCAAGAGCAAAAGACACAGCTCTCTCTCTCTCTGATTCTTAGAAAAATCTTTGCGCACCTCCTCTCCTGCCATCAAGAAGCTTGTGCTCGAAAAGTTTGCAATGGCTAAACTAGAATTTGCTTCCGCCACTGATAGTCCCCATGAGGACTATCTCATCACCTCACCCGAGTCAGCACAAAATTGTGTCGGCAGGTTCATACCATCTCAGTGCATTAAACATGCGATTGTCACTCATGTCAAATTGTCTGTTCAGCTTACCTCTCTAGTAACTATTCGCAGGAAGACCGCCCAGATCAGCCTGTTTCACTGGCTATATCAAAACTTTTCTGACACGCAAGAAACTCTGCTCATTCCACTTATTCGCACCTCCCGTAGACTGCAGTATACTCTAAAATTGGTAATGGTTTTCATGACAACTCATGCATTCAACCCATCCTTCCTGCCATCCACCATTGAGCATTCGAGCATTGGAGCAGTTGCTCAAGAGTGCGACTCAGTCAAATTCAGAGTGTTGCTGCCTTTTTCTTTTGGGCTGACCCTAGCACCGGACAGTTCATCAACAAAGCTCCTTTTCTATAAATGTTTTTTTTCTTTCCTTCTTATGTGTTTTCTTTAACCTCTCAGCATTTATTCATACCCATCTCTGGAAAACAACTGCATGTAATATCTCATACACCTTCTCAATTCAATTTATTTTTATGTGTAATGCTTTGTAGTGTATATTTTCTTCATAGTTATTCTTCAAGTACTGTATTTGTATTATTTCATATATTTAAGATATGTATACTTTCCCTATGTAATGTCTTGTATAAATGGCTAGTAAACAACCCCGAGGTCCATAAATTGTTATCAGTACAAATATGTGCACTTTTTGTTTGCGACCATGCAGCCGCAAGGATTTTGCGAATACGATCTATATTGAAAAAGTTACAGGGGTCAGAAGATCGGTTTCAACTGGTTTCAAATTTTCGCGCAGCTTTGCCACTCTTCTGCGCCTCAGGAAGAAGAAGGCGTAGCCCGTCGCCATGACTGGTTTGGCCCAATGAACGAGTGGCACGCTAGGTTAAATCACCGACTTGCGACATCACTTAGCAGCGCGTGAAATGGGGATTGGTCAGGCGTAGGGCAGGAGCGCGGGAACTGTTTTTCGAAATGAAGGCTCTACGCGGTGCGCAACGCGGTAATATTAGGCAAATGTGATCACCGTGGTGTACTCAAGAAATTTCCGAGCTTCTTTGGATGGTGTAAAAAATGATGTCAGAGCCTGCTGACTGGCTCTTTAATACCCAATGGTTTAATAAAAGAGGATGGTGATGGTTATATTTGTTTCCTCAGCTATTTTTGTTAATCGTTTTTTGTTAACCTAGAATCAAAACGTGTATTAAGATGATGTGACTGCGGTGCGTTTACTCTCCTTATCTAAATAAATACCATAATCTTGGAGGTAAATTGCGTTAGAAGAACGACTGCTAACATTCCAGTCATACCAGGTTATGAATGCACCCATTTACCTACACAAAACAAGAAGCACAGTCCTTTATGCTTTCACCTAAGATGACTCAAAGATGAAACCCATCTTACTTTTCTTCTCAGACTACGTAGTCATACTGCCCCGCCCAAGATGCTCCAATAGCAATGTGGAGGTGTTGCAAACACTCTGCACCTTTCCTTGTGTCATATCACCTCCGTGACTGGCCAACTTTCGACC